GACCGCTTCCTGGTGGGCTCACTCAGGTGGGTTTGGACTAGATAGCAGAACAGGTCTGAGCTCATCCCTACTCTCCATATTTGTGAAGCTGCCAACACTGGATGACTTTGGGGAGATTTACTAAAACTGGAGCACTCAGCACAAAACCTGGAAGCTGATTGGTTTCTATGCAGAGCTGCACCAGATTTTGTGCTTCCAGTTTTAGGGCCAATTCACATTGACTTGTGCTAAATTGTACGTACATTTCCTTCAATTGTTTAGCATAGTAGCATGCGCTGACTGATACATTTTGCATTTTAGCTCAACATGACGTTATGGTGTGAATAGGACACTTTGGAAATGATTGTTTTTCAGATGTCTTTCCGTTGATCTGCGTTTTACAGCTGCGCTAAAATGCACTGGTAGGTGTGACTTGGCCCTTAGTAAATCAACCCCTATTTGTATCCCTGTAGTCTCTACTGCTTTTGTCTTCAACTCTCAGAGTAGTATTTATCAATCACAATTCCTCCACCAATCACTGATCATAATAGATCACACAGCCTCTCCCCCTCCCCTGTACTCACCACAACACCCCCCTGACAACCCCCCAGAACAATCAGGAGGATGAGGGGGGTCACCTTCATCTTCCTGGATGTGATAGACACAGAGGCACAACTTCACAACCAGGAAAGTCCCACACCAACCCCCACCTGTGTACAGGGGGGCGGAGCTCTGTGCTGATTGGAGAATGCCTTGAGTCCCCGTCCAATAGGAAAATAAAAATAGGCTGATGATCAGCAGTTGCCAGGAGGACAAACAGTGATAAGAAGAGCAAAGCTGAAGCCACAAAACGTGAAAATGAAACCTAGAAGAGAACATTTTAATTATAGAGAATCAAGGGCAGGGTAGTGGAATTTTGTTTATTCTGGACATAGAAACCTCCAATACTGTGTATGGATCTCAAGGAAAAACAGACCACCCAAGTCATAGGTTTTTAATTAAAGCGGTAGTAAACTGGAAAAAAAAAGATTGGTCCCCCCAGGGGTGGTTTATGTCATAATGTGTAGCACCTAGTATGCACCGCATTATAGACAGAAGGCCATCAAATCTATCATCGGTCCATATACAGGACATTTTTCACCTTCTCTGTGAACTGCCTATAAATATCATTTTTTTAGCATCTATGAAATGGCAACTAGATGTGTGTAATAATATGTAGATTACCAGATCATGACATGTGCTATACTACAAAATAATAATACATTTAGAAAAATGTATCTGAGGAAGCGGCAGCTACATGATCAGAAAGACCATTTCTCAGACCATTCTCATTGGACAGATCATTTTTGTCAACACCCTCCTCAGGGAAACCTTAAAAGAGCGACTGCATCATCAGTCTGGAGCTCTCCTTTAAACCATCAAACATGGAATATCAGCCAAGATTTATGAGAGCACATTGATATACCTTGCTTATTGACTGGACTTTATTATTGGTTGAACAAATATAGGACTTTGTTAAGTATTTTTCACTTTAAAAAACCTTTTTTGTTTTCTGTTGCATTATTGTCTCTTTTCTTTTTCAATACCTTTTTCTGCAAATATTTTGTTTGCACCATTTCACCTGTTTTTTTTTTTTATTAAACAATATTTTAAAATAATGAATATTGTCTCTAATGCACTAGGCTAGAACTTAATGAATCCCTGTCTCTTTGAAGAGCGCTACTGTATTGTAAATCTCTGGATATTCCTGTATCTTATGACAGGATGTTGTCAGGGACCTGAATCTGAACCCAGGAACTCCGCTGTGTCTGTCGGTAGCTCTACTTTGCTTGATCAACTGAGATTCTGTCGGATCCCTTGGACAGCCTTACTTTCTATCTTATTTCTTATGTACTTTGAACTCTTTGCTCCTCCAATGAACTTCCTATTGAAGCCACACCTTTGCACTCCTGTTTGTCAGATTATTGTGCTCTTCTCCAGCCAATTTATTACTACTCCCTTCACCTCCTGCTGCCCATATCTTCAGTGCTGCTCATCACCAACCTTTGGTTTGTTCCTCGACTACATTTCCATGTGATCCCAACCTGCAACCACTTGTTACTGACCTTTGGCTTGTTTACTGAATATGTTCCCTGCTTGATACCGACCTATTACAGCTGCTACCAAACCCCCAACTTGCCCACCTCCTGGCAGGATGACTGTGGAGAACCCACACCCTGGCACTAGCATGTAGAAAGACCCTTCTGTACATCAGGAAGCTCTGGTGAACACCAGTTAGTTGCTTAGAACCCTGTGCCTCAGGTTTGCTTGCATCATCTTCCAGGGTGACCTTCTCATGTACATATCCAGCTGGTTGGTGGGAAACTCTCTACTGCTGTAGCTACTGGTCCTCCGAGCCTGACTCCGAAATGTGGCAGATGTAATTACACACAGTTAATAAATGTCGTAATTGTTATGGTGATTGGTTGATAAGCCAAAAGCTATCTGGTGCAGTATTTTGGAATATAACAGGTTTTAACAGTGATGATCACTTTCAGTCTTCTGGCAGTTAGATTGTAGCTCCAGGAACTGGAAAAATCGTTGTCCACGGCGAGGCTGAGATTGTGTGTAATTGTTGTGTATCAGTGACAGTGCTTGCAATGTGAGTTTGACCGCCATTTGTGACAAGTTGGTGAAGGTGAACAGAGTCCTGACACATAGTTACATAGTTTAGTACTGGCTGAAAAAAGACAAAAGTCCATCCAGTTCAACCATAACAAAAAAAGTATATAATCCTTTACCCACAGTTCATCCAGAGGAAGGCAAAAAAAAAAAACCCAGCAAAGCATGATTCAATTTGCTCCTGCAGGGGAAAAAATTCCTTCTTGATCCCCCCGAGAAGGCAATCAGATATTCCCTGGATCAACTTTACCTATACATTTTAGTATCCAGTTATATTCTGTGTATCTAAGAAAGAATCCAGGCCTTTTTTAAAGCAATCCACTGAGCTGGCCAGAACCAACACTTGAGAACCAACTCTTGAGGAGTCTAATTCCACATTTTCACAGCTATTACAGTGAAGAAACCTTTCCATGTTTGGAGATTAAATTTCTTTTCCTTCAGACATAAAGAGTGCCCCCTTGTCCTCTGTGATTACCTCTGGGTGAATAGCTCTACAAACACCGAGTTCACTATATGAACACTGATGTATTTTATACATGGAGATCATATCCCCCCTTATGTATTTATACATGGAGATCATATCACCCCATTATGTATTTATACATGGAGATCATATATCCCCCTTATGTATTATACATGGAGATCATATCCCCCCTTATGTATTATACATGGAGTCATATCCCCCCTTATGTATTATACATGGAGATCATACCCCCCTTATGTATTATACATGGAGATCATATCCCCCCTTATGTATTATACATGGTGATCATATCCCCCCCTTATGTATTATTCATGGAGTCTCATATCCCCCCTTATGTATTATACATGGAGATCATATCCCCCCTTATGTAGTATACATGGTGATCATATCCCCCCTTATGTATTAATATAACATGGAGATCATATCCCCCCTTATGTATTATACATGGTTGATCATACCCCCCCTTATGTATTATACATGGAGATCATATCACCCTTATGTATTATACATGGAGATCATATCCCCCCTTATGTATTATACATGGAGATCATATCCCCCTTTATGTATTATACATGGAGATCATTATCCCCCCCTTATGTAATTATACATGGAGATCATATCCCCCCCTTATGTATTATACATTGTGATCATATCCCCCCTTATGTATTATTCATGGAGATCATATCCCCCCTTATGTATTATACATGGTGATCATATCCCCCCCCCCCACCTTATGTATAATAAATGGTGATCATATCCCCCCCCCTTATGTATTATACATGGAGATCATATCCCCCTTATGTATTTATACATGGAGATCATATCCCCCCTTATGTATTATACATGGTGATCATATCCCCCCCCTTATGTATAATAAATGGTGATCATATCCCCCTTATGTATTATACATGGAGATCATATCCCCCCCTTATGTATTATTACATGGAGATCATATCCCCCTTATTTATTATACATGGAGATCATATCCCTCCTTATGTATTATACATGGAGATCATACCCCCCTTATGTATTATACATGGAGATCATATCCCCCCCTTATGTTATTATACATGGAGATCATATCCCCCCTTAAGTATTTATACATGGAGATCATATCCCCTCTTATGTATTATACATGGAGATCATATCCCCCCTCATGTATTATACATGGAGATCATATTCCCCCTTAATCTCCTCTTCTCCAAAGAGAAAAATTCCTCTAATCTTTCCTCATAGCTGAGCTCCTCCATGCCTCTTATCAGTTTGGTTTTCCTTCTCTGTACTTTCTCCAGTTCCCCAATGTTTCTTTTGTAAATTGGTGCCCAAAACTGAACTGCATATTCCAGATGAGGTCTTACTAATGATTTGTACCGGGAAATGATATCTCTCTCTCTGGAGTCTATACCTCTTTTAATACAAGAGAGGATTTTGCTCACTTTAGAACCCGCAGCTTGGAATTGCATGCCATTATTAAGCTTGTGATCTACCAGAACTTCCAGATCCTTCTCCACCATTGATTCCCCCAGTTGTACCCCCCTAGTATGTATGATGAATGCATATTCTTATCCCCCAAGTGCAGAACCTTACATTTATCAACATTAAACCTCCTTTGCCACATAGTTGCCCAATTACACAGAGCATTGAGGTCAGCTTGTAAATTGGAGACATCCTATAAGGACGTTATTCCACGCACAGCTTGGTGTCATCTGCAAAGACTGAAATGGGATTTATAATTTCAGACCGATATCGTTTATAAATATATTAAAAAGTAAGGGTCCCAACACTGAACCTTGGGGTACACCACTGATGACCCCAGACCATTCAGAGTATGAATCATTAACCACTACTCTCTGAATACCATCTTTTAGCCAGTTTTCTAACTATTTACATATGGATTTTTCCAAGCCTGTAGACTTTACCTTACACATTAGCCATGTGGGGGGAACTGTGTCAAATGCTTTTTCAAGATCCAAGTACACCATGTCCACCACCACCCCTCTGTCCAAGTATACCATGTCCACTGCCACCCCTCTGTCCAAGTATACCACGTCCACTGCCACCCCTCTGTCCAAGTATACCACGTCCACCGCCACCCCTCTGTCCAAGTATACCATGTCCACTGCCACCCCCTCTGTCCAAGTATACCACGTCCACTGCCACCCCTCTGTCCAAGTACACCACGTCCGCCACCACCCCTCTGTCCAAGTATACCATGTCCACTGCCACCCCTCTGTCCAAGTATACCATGTCCTCCGCCACCCCTCTGTCCAAGTATACCACGTAATATTTACTTTTTGGGTTCCTTCTCTGACTGACTAGGCATTGAAGGCTGCAATGATGCAGCAGGTAATAGGTGAATTACTTCTGGGCTGTGTAGTGTGGCAGATGTGTGTAAATTTCAAGGTTATACAGAATAATAATTCCTTTAATTGGAAAAAATAAATAAACATATATACTTCTAAGGTGTGCCTTTAGCTGTTTCCCTGAAATTCTACTCCGACCCTATAATGATATGCACTTTATAGTACATTGCGCACTAATTGAAGACCACATTCCTCAACCAACCTTCCAGACTGATGGCCCTGCCATGCAACAACTATTATTAAAACATTTGCTCAGAACCACCCGCAGCCCATTTTAAACATTACATTTTGATTCCTATGGGTGAGCTACACACTGAATAATCACTGAAGGCCACTATAAGTACAGAATTCCTATAGGAATGAATGGGACTGTGACACACATTGCAGAATA